TGGTGAGTGCCGCAGAGCCACACTTGGCCCATGTCCTTCTCAAGCCCGAGCTCCTGGGCAATGTGGCTGATCTGCTCCTGTGTGGGTTTCAGGCACTTATTTTGAGTTGGAGTCTGAGGCTATATTTAGAATGTGCAGGAAGGAGTGCTATCATTAATTAATGATACCCATCATGGAAGTGGGATGAACCTGGGTCACACTGCAATATTTAGGAATTTAGTTTGGCTTTAACAAAATTGGAAAAAGCAGTGGCTTAAACATATTACCAGCTCTATGTCTTTTTTTGTCCAGGGTTGGTTTGACACATGCACAGTATCCTCAGAGAGACAAGCCCCTCTGGCCTTCCTTCACCTCGTGATCCTCAGCACATGCTTATTCCTTTGTAGTCACAAGATGGCTGCTCAAACTCCAGTATTTCATTTGAATTCCAGACATAAAGAAAAGTCAGGGTGAAGGGCAAAAGACACAGGGTAGTTAAATTTGCCTTCCATTTTAAGAAGCATTTACAGAAGGCTCATCCAACAACTTCCACTCACATTTCATTGGCCAGAACTGCATAATATGTTTATGTCCTTCATCTGCAAAGAGTGCTGGGAGATGTAGTTTTTAGCTAGGCATATTTATACCCCCTGCAAAACCAGTGTTCTGTTACTTATGATCAGGGAGAATCCATATTAGGAAGGCCTCTAGCAGTTTAGTCCACCATTCCTGTTCTATAAATAGGTACTCTTCAGCTTTATTGAACCAGGAAGAACTTTATTCCTTCCCCTACCCCCCAACTCCACACGTACTCACACACAGAGGCAGCATTGCTCTTCTGCAAAGGATTGATACCCAGTATGGGCTCTGACCTGTGTGACAGATGAGCATGGGAGAGGCACATCTTTAATTTCTGAGTTCTACTAGTGAAATTGATCTTAAAATTTTATCATAAATTTTGTGTTTATTGGGGAATTTATTGCTATAGTTGTGTTCAATACAAATCTCAGTACTGATATCACTGTGAAACATCTTGTAATTCTTTTTTTTTTTTTTAGAGAGGGAGGCGCCAAGGGAGAGGGAGAGAGAGAATCCCAAGCAGACTCCATGACCAGGGAGGAGCCCAATCTCACAACTCATGAGATCATGACCTGAGCCAAAATCAAGAGTCAGACACTTAACCAACTGAGCCACCCAGATACCCCAGAAACATCTTGTAATTCTTAAAAGACTGGACTATGAAGCTAGACAGATTTGGGTTAGGATCCCAGATTCATATTTTCTAGCAATGTACTTTGGGCAAGACATTTAATCTATTGATGCATCGGTTTCCTCATTTGTAAACTGTGGATAATAATTTTTACAAGTAGGATGATAAGATAATTTAAGTCCAAACTGGAAAACTTTAATGTGATGGAAAGGGGATAATATTGACAATTATGCTTGAACAAGTGGCATAAGCCCAGAATTATAGTCACTGTACTTCTAGGTACTGATGAGAGGATTAAATGAGAAAATAGAGCACTTAGCACAGAGCCTGATACAAAACAAGTGCTCAGTAATTTCTAGCCACTATGTTTTTATTGTTAAATTGAAAAGTTCCATTGTTTCAGCTTTTCTAACAATAATAAGCTGATAATCTTCCTTATGATAAAGAATAGTGGTTTGACATAAAAAGAGCTTAATTCTTTTCAAGGTGGAGAAAAACCTAATTGAAAGTCAAACAACCAAACTCTTCTAGAGGAGGAACAGTGTTGAAAGACACTGCAGAAATCATTAGAAGGGGGCGCCTGGGTGGCTCAGTCTTTAAGCGTCTGCCTTTGGCTCAGGTCATGATCCCAGGGTCCTGGGATCATGCCCCGCATTGGGCTCCCTGCTCCGTGGGAAGCCTGCTTCCCCCTCCCACACCCCCTGCTTGTGTTCCCTCTCTCACTGTGTCTCTCTCTGTCAAATAAATAAAATCTTAAAAAAGAAATCATTAGAAGCACGAAGCAGAGAATCAGAATTTTAATGATTTTGTATACTATTTCTCAAAGGCTTTGGTCTGAAGATCCCTTTATACTCTTAAAATATTTTGAGGACCACAAAGAGTTTCGTTTATGTGAGTTATATCTATTGATATTAAAAATGTAGAAAATTAAAAAGTATTCATTCAAAATAACAATAACCCCATCATCTATTAACACAGAGAACACTTAAATTAACTATCTTTACAAACAAAACAAAAACGAGAGGATTAATGTTTCTGCAAATCTCTTTACTGATCGGTTTGTTGCAGTACGTTGTTTTGGTGAAAATACATGAACGAGATAGGTCCTTGGAAAAGAGAGGGAATATTTTAATAGCCTTTCCAGACATCTGTGGTTATTCTCTGATACTACACCAAAACTCCACGGTAGTTTTTTAAAGGTTAGTTGTAAAGTGGAATCTGAAATCGTATCAATGAACTTTTTATACTGTTATATCAAAGCCCATTGGTCAGTCTTGTGCTTTGAATGAATATTTTACTCATGATTTTATAACATCATCCATTAGTCATTTGGAGAATATTAGTTCATTGAGTTATGCAGATATTCCAAATGTTTACATATTTGAAAATAGTTTTGACAGCATGAGTCACTGAATAGGTTTTAGTCTCAAGCCACACTTTAAGAACAGCTGATATGGTATGGTATGACTGTTAGATAAGTAAAGAAAGCAAAAAACTTACCACCTGCTTTTTTTTTCTTTTAAAATCAGGAGGCAATAGGTTATAACACACAAACAGCAATATTGTCCCAAGTGGCAATTTCAAATCTTTTTATATGAATACAAGTTGACAAGCTTATAGAAACAGATGGCTTCTAATTCAAAGGTCTTTCTCTCTCTCTCTCTTTTTTTTAGTTTAACTCTATTATTAGTATTTCAGTGTATGCAGGAAGGTATCTTGAAGGAGCTCACAATGCTTCATCTCTTCTTTCCATTCTTCCCAAGATAGAATCTTTGCAGAAAAATGTGGGCAGCAAAACCCCACTAAAAATATTTTAGTACATCTTTTCTGTTTGCAACCTGGTCTGGAAGCTACCCATTTATTATGGGTCAAGGTTTTTTGTTTTTCCGCAAGTATAGATGACATTCTCAAGTGAAATTGGTTATAGATTTGAGAAACTGCTAAATAAACCTCTTATTTTGCTCTCCTCTTGTTACCCCAGGCTTTTCAAAGTCCAATGATAGTAGAGGTTAATCCTATTTTTTGGAAAAAGCCACTTGCTAACTGGTCTTTAGCAGGCTATAAGACCTTCACTCAGCAATACTACCAAGGAGAAATTTGTTTTAGGCACCCTGCCCCTTATTTTTCTTTTTTTTAAATTTAATTTTATTATGTTAATCGCCATACATCATTAGTTTTTGATGTAGTGTTCCGTGAATCATTGTTTGCGTATAACACCCAGTACTCCATTCAATACGTGCCCTCTTTAATACCCATCACCAGGCTAACCCATCCCCCCACCCCCTCTCCCCTCTAGAACCCTCAGTTTGTTTCTCAGAGTCCATCGTCTCTCATGGTTCCTCTCATGGTTCGTCTCCCCCTCCGATTTCCCCCCCTTCATTTTTCCCTTCCTACTATCTTCTTCTTCTTCTTTTTTTTTTTTAACATATAATGTATTATCTGTTTCAGAGGTACAGGTCTGTGATTCAATTCTTACACAATTCACAGCGTTCACCATAGCACATGCACCTTGCCCCTTACTTTTCTATTCAGCTTCCCAGTGCCCTTACCACTTCCTGCGGGCTGCACACTAGGCCCCACTGTGTGGCCCACCCAGGTCTACCTTCCTGGGCAATGCTTTGCCTCCTCCTTTATCCTTCAGTAAACACACACCCTTCGTATTCATTCTTTCACTGAAGTCTGATTTTTAGCTTAGATTAGTCCAGGCTTAAATATAGTGTTAGTGGATGTCAAGCCAATTAAAAATATTTACACTAGGGCATCAATGATGGATGGATACCAAGTGTTTGGGAACTAAGAACCAATTGATGATCTGAAAAAATAAACTCGCAAAGGGGTTGCTATATGGTCATTGAGTGGACTGCTTAGCTTTTCTTTTCAAGCACATGAAAGCCACCTGCCTGGCTCAGTTGGTAAAGCACTGGACTCTTGACCTTCGGGTTTGAGCCCCATGTTGGGTGTAGAGATTACTTAAAAATCTCTAAAAAAGGCAAGATATTTCAAGCATATTCAGAGCCAATAACCCCTTTAAGTTTTAATTCAATTATCCTATGAGCCCAGTCTATCACTGAAAGGTAAACTTGTTAAGACAAGAAATGAGACGTGAAGTCACCGTATGGCTACAGTTTGGTGGTTCCACAGGTTTAGGTATCAAGGAGAAAGTGGGTGAAGTGCCGGGAGGGCAGCCCTCACTTGAGCAAATATTGACTTCAAGCTGCTGGTAATAATTCTGGGATTTCCAGTAGTCCCTTTTGACGTTTCATTTACTCCCCGAATTAACTTAAGGCTTTTTAAAAAAGTGAATTTCAGTGTTACTAAAGCTCGAGATTGTGATTCCCAAGTGTGTTTTTAGGTTTAAGATGAGGCCTCAAACTTGGCCGTAGGTAAGACAGTCTAAACCAATGCCACCTCCGCCTTCTTTTGCGGGGTGCCCTCTTTTCTTCCCGGGGTTTGGCTGGGGTATATGATGGGGTGACTACCCAGCCCAGAAGGCCCCTAACGGCATTATTAATGAGTCCCAAATTCTTGCTGTTGCCGTGACCTTTCAACAGGCGGACGGTGCAACTGCACGTTGGACGCAACAGGCACGACCGGCATGCCATCACTGCAAAGGGACTCAAGCGACAGCAGTGGGCGGTGCACGAAACCTCTCCTTTCTTTAACCCTTCTTCACACATAGTCCCACCCTCACCGGAAATGGAGCCGTTTCTACGTTACGCCACTTCCGGCCCGCACGCCCGTCCCTGGCAGGAGCGAGCACGCTGGTGCGCGGCAACTTTGTTCCCGCCTCCTTTGCCCCAACACCACTCACCTTCGGCTTTCTCGGAGCGTGACGTGCGTGCGCGCCCCCGGCCTTGCGTCAGGGCCGAGGGGAAAGGCCGAAAGAGCGAGGCGAGAAGGAGGGGTTGTAGAGGTTAGGGCCCAACCAGCAAGTCCCGTCGCCCTCCCTCCTCCTGACGAGAATCGGAGAGGGAAGGGGAGGAGCGAGCCGGGGCCGGCCGCGCACACCAGGAGCCTCCTCGTGGAGGGGGGGGGGGAGCGGAGGAAAGGGGACCTCCGCCACCTCTGTTCGCGGCGGCGGCGAAGGAAGAAGAAAGTCAGGGCCCGTACCCACCGCCACAGGCTCAGAAACTCCCCCCCCCCCCCCCTATCCCCCCGGAAACAGCCCCCCGCCCAGCCCCGCACACTCGCTGCCCCAACCGTGAGCCGCAGCCCGGTCGCCCCCGCCTCGCCCCGCCCCGCCGCCCGTCCCTGCGGGCGGCAGAGTGCGCGAGGCCCTAGGCCGGGAGTTGTTGTCAGGCCCAGGCCACTTCCGAGGCGCCCGCCGTGTGTCGCCGCCACCACAGGAGGACGACGTCGACGCGGAGGAGGCGGCGGCGGAGGCGTGTTGTTGTCTCGCCCACTCCCCTCCCCTGAACTCGCACCCAACGTCAGGGCGCGATGGAGTGAAGCGGAGACGAAGGTGGTACTTCCGCGTTGCGCTGCCCGAGCCGAGAGCGCGGCCGAGGCCGCTCCCCCACCCCCGGGGGCACTTGGAGGACTCCGGACTCCCCCGCAGGTCAGCGCCCGGCGCATCTGGTGTTTTGGCTGCTGAGGATAGGACGACGAGCACGATCGCGAGCTCTGCCACCCGGATTCCTGCTTCCCTCAGGCCCGGAGGCCGCTGCATACCCCACTGTGACCTGGAACCCAGGGACCTGAGTCCTGACCCGGATTATCGTGGCGCGTCTTCTGGCCGGCCCTGGCGCTCGGTGTCCCTCCGCCGCCGCAGCAGTTCCCGTTTCCGGCGGGGGAGATGGCCAGGATCTGACCCGGGAGGAGGCCGCACCCGCGCCGCGCTCTGCGGCGGGCTCTAGGCGATGCCGAGCAGCTCGGACACGGCGCTGGGGGGAGGCGGGGGCCTGAGCTGGGCGGAGAAGAAGTTGGAGGAACGCCGCAAGCGGAGGCGATTCCTGTCCCCTCAGCAGCCGCCGCTGCTGTTGCCGCTCCTGCAGCCGCAGCTCCTGCAACCGCCGCCGCCCCCGCCGCCTCTGCTCTTCCTGGCTGCTCCCGGCACGGCCGCCGCCGCAGCCGCCGCCGCCGCGGCCTCCTCCTCTTGCTTCAGCCCGGGCCCCCCTCTGGAGGTCAAGCGGCTGGCGAGAGGCAAGAGGCGCGCAGGAGGGCGGCAGAAGCGGCGCCGCGGGCCCCGCGCCGGGCAGGAGGCGGAGAAGCGTCGGGTCTTCTCGCTGCCCCAGCCGCAGCAGGACGGCGGTGGCGGTGCTAGTAGCGGCGGGGGTGTGACCCCGCTGGTGGAATACGAGGATGTGAGCTCCCAGTCCGAGCAGGGGCTGCTGCTGGGGGGGGCCAGCGCGGCAACGGCGGCGACGGCTGCCGGGGGAACGGGGGGCAGCGGCGGGAGTCCGGCCTCCTCCTCCGGCACCCAGCGGCGCGGGGAGGGGTCGGAGCGCAGGCCCCGCCGGGACCGCCGCAGCAGCAGCGGCCGCAGCAAGGAGCGCCACCGCGAGCACCGGCGGCGGGACGGGCAGCGCGGCGGCAGCGAGGCCTCCAAGTCCCGCAGCCGCCACAGCCACAGCGGCGAGGAGCGGGCCGAGGCCGCCAAGAGCGGCAGCAGCAGCAGCAGCGGCGGCCGCCGGAAAAGCGCCTCGGCCACGTCTAGCAGCAGCAGCAGCCGCAAAGATCGAGACCTGAAGGCCCACCGGAGCCGGACTAAGTCGTCCAAGGAGCCGCCTTCGGCCTACAAGGAGCCGCCCAAGGCCTACCGGGAGGACAAGAGCGAGCCCAAGGCCTACAGGCGGCGGCAGCGGTCCCTGAGCCCGCTGGGAGGTCGGGACGACAGCCCGGTGTCCCACAGGGCCTCGCAGGGCCTGAGGAGCCGCAAGTCCCCCAGCCCGGCAGGAGGTGGCAGCAGCCCGTACTCTCGGCGGCTGCCGCGCTCCCCGAGCCCCTACAGCCGCCGCCGCTCCCCCAGCTACAGCCGCCACAGCTCCTACGAGCGGGGCGGCGACGTGTCCCCCAGCCCCTACAGCAGCAGCAGTTGGCGCCGCTCCCGGAGCCCCTACAGCCCCGTGATCAGGTGAGTCCGCCCCCCCTCCCCCCGCTGCGTTCGTCTTCTGCTGCGCGGGCCAGATCCCCAGGAGGCAGGGAAAGTGGTGACTGGTCTCTTCGGAGCCACCGAAGTCTGCAGCCGGCACTGGAAAACCCAACTTCAGGCCGGGGCTTCAAGTAGGGCGAGGCGTTTGCGCGCGCCCGTGACACCTTTTAGTGGGTTGGAGGGACAAAGCAACAGGTCCTGCAGACTTGTTCTCCTCCCTCTGGCCGGGAAAGATTTCGAAGAAAGAGTTCAAAGTTTTAAACTTGTTGCATTAACCTATTAACAGGTTTCTCTCAACTGCTCTTTGCATTTCCAGCAATTTTCTTTGGGTAAACCTAGAGGTGGTTTAATTTGTCATGATTTTGAAAGCTCTCTGAAGAGGTTTCATCTTTGGAGACTTAGGAACGGACCCCCATACTGTAAAGGAGAATCGGAATCACTTGCTGATGTCAGAGTTAGATATGGATTGCAAATGTTGCAGGTGATGAATACAGCAATGGAAAAATTTGCAGCTTTTCTGTGAAGTTTATTTTAATATGTGACAGAAGCTTATGTGGAAACTTAAGAGTTCTCAATTCTCAAGATAAGGAAGATGCCCTTTTTGTTATATTCTTCTGCGGAGTGGTTTTTTAAGTGTTGAAAAAAAAAGACAAGATTGTGGTTTCACTGTTGGTTTGTGATGACATCCAGTTGCTAATAACATATAATTAATTGGTGTAACCAAGTGAATGGTCTAGTACATCCTTACGGTATCACAGTTTACTGTTACATTAAATTACATTTACTTCAAAGTTTAGCTATATTTTTAGGTATCAACGATCTTTGTTCAGAAACCTTTAAAAGGTATAATCTGGTGAAATTGGAGTAAATCTTTTATGTGGTTGTTACACCTTATTACATAATTCTATTCAGGAAAAGTGTGAACGTTGATCTATGCGTACCTTTTAAGCAAAACAAACTAAAAATAACTTTCGAATATTTTGCAGGTTCTGTGCCTTGAGCTGTCTGGAAATTCTAGGTCTTATCGTTTAGGGTATTAAAAAATGACGTTTTCGTTGGTTGTGGTTTTCCTATTGGTCTTAGTTTTCAGTAATGCCAAGTGGATGCAAGTACCTCTAAGCAGATTATGTTGAATCTCAATGCATATACTTTTAAAATTAGCAGATCTCTTTGAAGTGTCAGCCTAGTAAATACTTGTCAAGATGGGATTCAAGTAGGGATCTGGGTGTGAGTTTGTCCTTAAATGAAAGCAGCTGTGCAAATCTCTTCATTCTTACAGCGTTCATGCACACTTAAAATGCTAGTTGATGCTTTAAGTAAAGGTCTGTCAACACTGAAAATTCATTTCCCCAAATTTAGCCTTCATATCTTGTAAAGACCTTGCATTTTGCTTTTAGTTAAAATATTTTAGGTTTGCCAGAAGGTTTGCATTTTTGTTATTGTTGCTTGTTTTTTGCAGTTGACACTTTTTGAAAACTGATTAGGTTAAGTTTCAGGACTTCAGATAGCAACTTTGAGTGTATGATGCAATTTTAAGAATAGAGTTTGTGTTTATCTGAATTTTTAGTTGCTGGATACTTTAGCAAGGTCCTGTCCTTAATAGTGCTATGTATTTTATGTATATATTTCGTGTAGTAGTGGTATGTATGATTAGTATTATTCGTATATAGCAAATACTTAGCACATCATATGCCAGTTACTGTTCTAGGGACTGGAATGATCAATGAAGGAAGGTGAGGTCCTTGCCCTCATGAAGCTTGCATTTAGAGGACCATTCGTTGCTGAATCTTTTCATGGTTTTTATACTGACCACCGGTATTTCTAAAGGATTGGATTTGGACAAAGCTTTAGAGTATCTTGGCCAACATTCCAGACAGCTGTCCATTTGGTGTGTGCCTGAATACATCTAGACGTGGAAAGACATTACTGTGGGACAGCCTGTTCCTTTAGATTTGGGACTTGAGTTCTAGACCTGCTTTGCCCATTATCTTAGCAAGACCCTCCCTTGGAAACTCAGTTTCCTAAACTATAACAGAGAAATACTTGGGGTTTTTTTTTTTTTTGTATTATTTCAAGGATTACATGGAAATTTATATTTTGTAAAGTATGAAAAGAAATACTGTAGATTATTATAGAAATGTAACGTGGTTGAATTATTACCGAATAGTTTGAATTATTGGAACTCTTCACACTGAAACAGAAATCTACCTCCATATTAACTTTCTACCCATTGCTTCAAGTTTAACCAGAGCAAACTTGTATGCTGCTACCTCTTTAAAATGTAAGACACTTGCCATGTCTTCTGAGTCTTCTCTGGGCCAAAAACTTCATTTGTCATGAGGTACGGTTTTCAGATTTTTCACATTACATCTGGTTTGTCAACTGTCCTTAAAATATGGGGCCCAGAATTTACACCTAACGTTGATTGGAAAAATTTAAGATTTTTAAATACAACAAATGTGTTACTACAGTTTAGGAACAATTAATTGAACTCACTTGTCCAGTTTAACGCAAAAAGTTTTACTTACTTTTAGAGTTTAGTAATGTCTTAAAGTGGCCCATATTATTTAATGAATAGACTGCTAGATTGTGAGCTCTGTGAAGGCAGCTATACTGTCTTAACCAACCGTTGTATTACTAGTGTTCAGCATAGTATTTGGCACAAGTCGTCGCTTAATAATTGTTGAATGGGTAAATGAAGGGATGATGGAGTTTACTGAGCCTATGAAATAGTGGGCCTAGATTGCATAAGTATTTAATAGAGACCATGTGTAAGAAAGAGCAGTATGATCTTTTATCAGCCCACATGGACCTTCTGTATTAATGAACTGTCAGTGTAGATATTTTAAGGAGTTGCATGCACATTGAAAATAGTATTCAAACCATAGTATGAAGATTTTTTCTTGGTGTTTGTTAGTTCCTAGAGTAAATCCTCTCCTATTGACTTTTAATTCACTGTCTGCTCTAGGCTTTTGTCTTCTGTTCATGCTTTTCATTTCATCAGTCCCGCCTTAGCTTTACATTTGTTTCTATAACCAGTTTACCTCATTTTCTTTACTCTTTGTGACTATCGGGGTGTGGGAAGTCACATAATATTGCTGACTGACCCTATAATGTGGGAGTGTAGTAGAGGTGTTTTTAAAGGGAGGGAATGGTACTGACGTTTGGGATTTACTATGTGCCAGGTATTGATAAATACTTAACAACATACGTTCACCCCCTACATTTCTGTTCATAGATTGGGAAACTGAAGCTCTAAAAAGTTAAGTGATTTGTTCCAAGGTCAGCTTGGATTCAAACCCAGGGCTGATTGAAGTAATGTGCACTTGATACTGGTTATTGATACTGTCAGGGCATTCAAGGGAGCTGACCACCTCATGTAGTGATCTGTTTTGCTAGAATTCATCTCCTGTTAGGGTATTTATGTATCGATTCCCCCCCCCCCCTTCTTTGCAGCTTTTTCAGGATTGTAGAAAACAAATTC